ATGTCTTGTGCGGTCCTATTTTCCTAATGGATTATTTGTGATTTTTTTTTTTTAAGTATTCAGGGTCAGCTTTGCATATTTGCCAAGTTTATAACTTCAAATGCTTGTGTTAGTGACCAGCTCTTCAAAAGGCAGTTGGTAATGGTTAAAAGCAAGTATCAGTTAATACTCAGGTACCTATTTTTTCTTTCCCACAAAGAATTGCAGGGGAGTATCCTCTTTCTTGAGGTTATACTTGTTTAAAGATGCTAGAGGTTCCTCTTTTCTTTCTTTGAAGGTGAGAATATTTGACCAAAAAAATTGAATTGATTAACTTTTAGAAATGCATCTTGAAAATGAAATAAGATTTTGCTGCCAGGTGAGTGGAGTTTTCCCCTCTTGTTTAAACCCAATGAAATTATGATGCTTGGCCAAAAAAAAAGAATTGAAGAGTTAAAGTTAAAATTCCTGTGTGAGGTTGTCAAATTCTCATGCTGTATATTTTCTTTCAGATTCCTTTGTTTCTTCCTCTTCCTCTCAGCCTGTATCTCTATTTTCGACCTCACAAGGCAAGTCTGTCATTTTTTTGTGTGCATTAATAAAAGAAAAATGTTGAGAAAGAGGCTGTAACTGGGGATATGAGGTGCAAGTTTTCTATTGCTCCCAAACCCCTTGAAATAAAAACTACAAGCCAGTCCTTCATATTTAGTAGTTTGCATTGGATTTCCTGTAAAGGTTAATAAAATAGGGTAAGACTAGGTAAGTGAACCCTTTAACAGCACATAAGCTTTAGGTGCAGTTTTGAGCATTTCTTAAAAATTAGAATTTAGAGCAGACAGTTGTGGCTCATAAAACAACCCAGTGCAGGATGCATTTAACCTACTGATTTGCAGTTATGTCACTGGTTTGGAGAGAGAGTAGATTTGGAAAAAACAGTATAAATGTGTGCTTCCACTGAACTACTAATACACTAACTTAGCTAGAGTACTTTAGTGTGAATTTATCTGAGATTTGTCTCAAGAGCGAGGCTGGTTCCAAAATGCCTAGGAACACTGAACAAGTCAGTTGACTTTTTGGCAAGCAAGGCTTGTTTTCCTAGAGATTAAGCTGTGGCTTTGTGGGGTTGTTTGTTTGTTTTATCTGCCAGCCAATGAAGAAGGGAATCGAGTGTGATAGCTATATGTTTGTGGGGGGTAGCACTATCAAGAATCTGCAAGAGAGAGCACTATGTGCTCTGTCGAGTCACACTAATAATAAGCACAGTTTCATTTGTCTGGTGTACTCAATCTAAAATATAGGTCAATGGAAAACCCTTATTTTAAAAAAAGGTAATTAAACTCACTAGATAGGTCTGAGAAGCCCTGTGCAAACAGATTACTGTCCCAGCTGGAATTCTCTAGATGCAAAGTCTGGATGCTGGTTTGGAAGGAAGACTTTGACCTTATTTTTTTTTCAAGATTTTATTTATTTATTTGACAGAGAGATAGAGCAGGAACACAAGCAGGGGGAGTGGGAGAGGGAGAAGCATGCTTCCCGCTGAGCAGGGAGCCCAATGCGGGGCTCGATCCCAGGACCCTGGGATCATGACTTGAGCTGGAGGCAGACGCTTAACAACTGAGCCACCCAGGGGCCCCAAGACTTTGATCTTGTAAGAATAAAAACATAATGGGATAAAATGAATGTAGCATATTTTTTATGAAACATGGTAGATAATTTGTTGCTTTTAAATCAGACTGATAATATTAGGTCCCCCAGCCCCTTTGTAATGTGTCTCGTGTGAATTTGGGTAACTTGTGGGTCAAATCATGACCTTTGAAATTAAGTGTTTACATTAAAAGATAGATATTTTGTGAATATTAGAAAAATAACGCAAACCTATAAAGTGACTCGACATCTGAAATCCAACCAGATTGATTTTTTAAAGAGTTTTTTTCCTTATGAGGAATTTAATAATTTAGGCAAGTAGGTATTACATGTCATCTACCCTGGAAGATAAACTGGTAAAAATAGCATAATGTAGATGGAACAAATCATTACATTTTCTCTTGTAAATATTTTAGATCTTTTAAAATACAATTCTTCATGGTTAGAACTTTCACCCACTTTTTTCACACAGAAGGGGGATAATCGATATCCTAAATAGTGTAACAATGCAAGCCAAATACAACATAACTAATGTATGGAATGTTGACAAGATAACTGTTATAGTTTAAAAAACCGTTTCGTTCCTGTTGGGAAAAATCACACATTCAAATAGAATAGAGGTAAATAAGAAGGATTTTGCTAATTAAAAACCAAGGTTTAAGTAGGCTTCAGTGTCACAGTGAGTATGAAAGTTTGTAAAAGAAAACAGATTTGCCATTTTTCCCTTTTGCTTAAAAAGAGTTATTTAGGGCAGTGCAGATTCAGGATAATGTTATTGTTAAAAGAGTATTATAAAGAGGCAGTTAAAAAAGCCATATTCTTGAAGGTGTTCCAGTCTAGCCTCTATTACTACTACCATTTTTCTCCTGCAAAAAAACACATAATGGAAAAGTAACCCAGTTGGTGCTCCACTTCATTGGCAGGTCTAGAGATCAGCCTGTTTGAGGAAACACCTTGGCAAGTGATTAGGTGCATTCTAGAGTAGCCAAGAATGGTAGCTTCTAGTATGCCTTATAAAAATAAGGAAAGAGGATGTTGGTGTCCTTGTTTAACTGGATTAATCCCTTGGGGAGAATTGCTGGGACCAGTCTGGCCCAATGCAGGGCTTTCAGAGTGCTGCCACCAAGAAGAACCTTGAGTCCATCACTGGCATTAACCCAACTAACTCCTCTGTCTCTGGCTTTCATAACTCTTAGCCACTTATTTAGCCTTGGAGAATTATGCCTTACTTGTATATATCTAAGCCATATTAAGCAATATATAGCAATTATTAAATAGGACATTTTCATATTTGAGAATGACCTCTTCAATCCTGAAATAGTTATTATTGGCCTTCAGGGAGATGAATATACAAAAAACTGCCATTAATTTGGACTGAATAAAGGAAGGGAGGTTAAATTTTTCAAAAGAAAATTATGTAATATTTATTGAATTGTACTACTTTGAAGCAGACAGCTATTTAAGTTAGCAAAGCAAACTTTTTGACAGCTATTAAATATATTTGTAATGACAATATTAATAGAATAATCAATTTCTTTTTAAATAAGTTGTTTTCCTGAGTAGGTCCTTTGTAGTCTTTTCTTATTGATTCCTTCTTTCTTATCAAGCAGAATTTAATTTCAGCCTAATCACTAAGTGTTTCAAAATAGGGGAATAAATTTTAATGGTGTTTTCCTGTAATGTAAAATAAAGTTATTAACAGAGGTATACATGTAGGATGTGGCTCGTTTTTATTGAGCTTTTACTGTGTTCAGTACTTTATGTGAATTGTTTCAATACGCACAACCAGTTTTATGGAGGAAAGGTACTGGCTCATTTACCAGTTGACGGGTTTAAAATGGTGCAGTAACTTGCTCAAGATCACAGAGTGAATAAGTGACACATGTAGGACTCCAAAGTCCATGCTCATAAACACTGCCTATGATAAAGTATATTAGTTGTATTTTAGTGTTTGCAGATATTTTTAGAGATGTCATTTTGAGGGTTAATGTTACAATCATAAGAGCAGGGGAAGAGGCAGAAATTCTATTTTAACCATATTACTGCTGTTAGTGATGTAAATTTAGTATCAGGGGGCTCTGCTCCCTCCATGAGCACAAAATCAAACTGAAATTTGGTTTCTACTTTTGAAACCTTTGATAAGAGTGGAGGCTGAAAAATACGCTGATTTTCTTTAGAAAACATGGAAGAAAAGTAGGTAAAAATAAGATGGGAAAGAGAGGAACCTGAAGAACTGGAAGCATCTTTGCAGTAATGAACATTTGCATTCAATTTGAGTAATGCAGTAGGCATTTGGAATAGGAAGTTAGTTAAACACTGAACTTTGGGGCAGGCATTTGAGGGAAAAAATTTGCCAGTTACAGCCTTTTTTTTAACAAAAGCAAAACATTTTTCTTTGTACAGAAGAGACTTTTTGTTTCGGATCTAGCTTGGCTGCAAAGTGTCTGCTGGCTAACTTCCTATTTTGATGCTGTGGCTGAAAGTTGCTGATACTGTTTTGCACGAGAATTTGTCTTTCCTTCCTGTTTTGTGAACATAAGAAAATTCAAGTGTAGGAAAACCTATACCTGAATATTTCAAGCCTCCCTTGTATGAATATGCATAGTATTTCTTTGCTGATGTGTATGGTTTTTCCATGTTACAGCTATCCTTTTAACAAAAGTAATGAATTTCCTTAGTGAGGAGGGTTGGAAAGTAATCAAATGGTATCTAAAACAGGATTCTAAGCTATTCACTCTTTTTAGGAAGTACTTTGATAATAGGATATAATATTCATTATTAATTACTTATTTCTAGATCACATTGTTTTCAGTAATTAAGTTACCAACGCCTGAATAAAAATACTAAGTCTTTTTTGAAAAGGTAGTTTGGGGGACAAGAAACAAAGTAAAGAGAAACTATTTTGAAGGATAAACAGTATATGAAGAGGTTTTTTTCAATTAGAGTTGTATTTACTTGATGTGAACACAGTATTCACTTGGAAATTGATTTTTTATCATGTCGTTTTTAACTCCCCACCTTGTTCTGAGAGAGAATACTGCAGGCATAGAAGAGGGAAAATTCTTCCTGAATTCCCACACCTTATTCTCCAATCAAATGGAGCTTTTGCCTTATTCCAGTCAAAATTTCGAGTTACTATACTTTAAAGTTAGTAGATAGAAGTATTTGAGGCAGGCACAAAAGGACCACCCATGCCCGACTAAACTGTAAGCTGTGCTTCTGGACAAGGCCGGGGGCAAGAGTGAGAGGGAAAGCGTCAGGCTCCTCTCCTGTGGGATTGTCACGAGACTAGAGTTCTGAAGTACAGCTCAATTTTTCTACCTTTCTGAAACTCATAAAGTGCAGTAAAGCTGTGGTTTTCAAACCAGGTTCCTTACCTGGGAAACTTGTAATGCAGATTCCACCCCTTTCAGGGACTTCTGAGTCAGTAAGGCAGAGATAATATATGACGTACTGGTAGTTCTTAAGTTTGAAAGGGAGTGTAAAAGACGGCATCCGAGACTTTTTGTGCCAGGTTGTTACATTGTTCAGCTAGTTGTACATTGAACTAAAATATACTTTGGCCTTGATGGTGGTAAAATGAAACATTTTGTTCAGAAAAAGTTCTTTTTTCTTTTAACATTGCCTTCAATTTTTTTATGTGTTGGGCTGTCTTAAATATCTTTGCCTACATAGAATCCAGCATGATTCTTGGAATGCCATAGGCATTTGTTTTGTAATAACTGATTCAGAAGTTGCATCACCCACATTTTTGAAATAGATAAAATCTCTTTAAACTTCTTCCTCTTATTTGAGAATGGTAGGAGGGAAAAGTGTCTAAAACTCTGAATGAGGATTTATGCACTCCCCCCTATCAAAAAAGCGTATGATCTGGAGTCTCTATGTCAGGAGAATTTTTTTTTTTTTTTTTTTTGAGAAGGTGGTGTCTGGGGACATTTACTGAGGATTTACTAAGTGCCAGATAGTGCTCTAAGAACTTTTCATGTATTAACTCATTTAATCCTCACAGCAATTCTCAAGTTAGGTGCTTTAGTATCACCATTTTTTAGATGAGATTAATCAACTTGTCAAGGCCACACGAATAGTAAGTGTGATCAAATGATTTTGCATCTTTTAATAGGAATTTGTGGTCTGGGAGCGGTCTAGAAATTTAGACTGCCAACTTAATTTCCTCGTCTTATTTCAGATAGTGTACTTCACTTAAGTGGAGACTCATAGGTATTTAGACCTTAGGAAGATGTGGGTAAGCAACCACTTAAATTTGGGAACATTCTCATGATTATTTTGGGGTTATGACATTTTTCACCTCTACCATATATAATTCCCTTTTTTAACAAATTTATTAGGTATATAGAGCCATACCATATTTTTAAGTAATTAGAATTCTTGAAAATGAAGATGCACGTTAAATCCTATTACAGCAAACAACTAGAAAATATAATGAGGGCATTTTTTGACAGACATTGGTTTTGAGTAATGTTGAAAGTCTCTTGTAGTGCATGTGAACAGTTGGATCTTTTGAAAAGGGAAAGGGAATGGACATTTTTCTGAGATGTAAGATGATCCAGAGTTATTCTATCAGGCAGTTTTACAGTGTATGGTATTTTAAAAACTAACAACCTTCAAACTCCCTGGCGTTTTCTGCTGTTTTGCAGACTTGGACAACACCAGTGACTATTAAGTGCCATACTCACTAATTGGAAGAGTCTTTGCTTATGGGAGCTGTTCTAAAAAAGGCTTAGTAGATTCTGGTCTCGTTCTATTTAATGTTTTCATGCCTTTATAAACTTTTTACTTCCAACCCAGTTTTTTCCATTGTCTCGGTACAAGTCAGCTCTGTCCAAGTTTGTTAGGGTTTCAGCTAGCCAAAGAAACTTCCTTTCATTTGCTGAAATTCTAAACATGATAATTAAAATTGAAGCACAGATGAGGATGCTAACTAATTTTGCTACATGTGGGAAAACTTGATTGACAATGGTGAGAGCTAGCGCCTGTATCTCACAGTCTCAGAGAAATTAATGCAGCATTGAGCTCTGTTTGTGCCCTAGGCTAACCCCCCAGAAAGCACTATCCACTCCATATATTGTCACAAAAATCATTATTAGGAATATGACTAAAGTTATTTGTGTGTGCATAATAGTGACATATTAAAGAGTCTTAATTAAAGAATGTTCTAAGTTTTATTTATTGCAGGACTTGCTGGTATTCTGAGAATAAGACTTCTAACCTAATCTTCTAGTTTTACCTCAGATTATTATATACCTAACTTAAAACTTTTGGAGTATTAAGAGTTCAAAGAAGAAAGGAGAGAAACAAGGCTTGGAAAACTGACAAGTTTGTGTCCTGACAAATCATGTTAGAATGGTTCCACCATGCATTTTCCCCCAGTAATGTGCACATTCTTCTATTAGCATTCAGGGTAGGTTGCTTCTTTTTCTTTTCCTTTTTTTTTTTTTTTAAGATATTATTTATTTGACAGAGAGAGGGCACAAGTAGGCAGAGCAGCAGGGAGAGGGAGAGGGAGAAGCAGGCTCTCTGCTGAGCAGGGAGCCCGATGCGGGGCTCTGTCCTAGGACCCCAGGATCATGACCTGAGCTGAAGGCAGATGCTTAACCAACTGAGCCACCCAGGCGCCCCTGTTGCTTTCTTTTTCATTTCTTCAGGCCCACCACCACCACCACATCATCATTTTACTTACTGATTTTGCTTATTGTCTGTCTCCTGCCCTGGGTGCATGTACTCTTACAGCACCACAAACTCAAGGATCTTTTGTTTTGTTCACCGCTTTTAATCTAGTTTCTAAGGCAGTGTCTGGCACATGATAGGCACTCAATAATATTTGTGGAATTACTACTAATTCATTTTGTCCACTTTTGTCTATAAGATGACTGGTCTGAATTACCTGATATCTCAGTCTCTATAAAATATATAAGCCAAGCATTCCCTGTAAGGTGGAGTCACTTTTGATCATGTTAGAGTTCCATTCATGTTTGAAGGGAAGGATTCCCAGTTTTACCTTAATCCAGATTTAATCCATTGAATGTTTCATGATAGAAACAGTAACCAATAGGTTCAGTAATAATACATATCTCAGATCATGGAATATTTCTGATTTAAATGTAGCCTACAAATGAACTACTAAAAATGTAGTTCTTTAAATTTCAGGGTTTTTGAACCTTTTAATCTATATTGCTGACCTTCATTTATATTGTCTCCTTAATCTGGTCTTGCTGAATACTAAATAACGATACTGTATCATACTATATAATGATAGATGCAAACCATCTTTACTACGTTAGAAGTAAATGTGAATTGGGGCGCCTGGGTGGCTCAGTCGTTAAGTGTCTATCTTCTGCTCAGGTCATGATCCCGCAGTCCTGGGATCAAGCCCTGCGTTGGGCTCCCAGCTCAGCGGGAAGCCTGCTTCTCCCTCTCCCACTCCCTCTGCTTGCGTTCCCTCTCTTGCTGTCTCTCTCTCTCTCACATAAATGGATACAATCTTTAAAAAAAAAAAAAAAGTCAGTAAATGTGAATTACAGCTTGCTTCAAATATTTTCTGTCCCACTAGTACAGTTTGTACTACCCAACTGTTTTTCCTCAATTTACAAAAACTTTTTCCCCCAATACCCAGATAACAGTTAAACTGTTCTAAAGGTCATATTCTATTACATGAAATTTCAGTGATGTGTTGAAATAGAGGAACTTTATCTGGCATTTAGAAGCATTTTTGTAATAGTTAAATTTTATTTTTTGGAGTAAGATATTTAGTTTTTATTTCTTTTCAGTCTTACGAAATGATTTTGAATAAAGTCACAGTTTTGCTTCTGTTATTCAGCTTCTCACATGAAAAAGAATATAAGCTGAATAAAAGTAATCCCAAAGGTTTTTCTCTTTCATAAATTCAGTTACTCATTCACACTCAAGGCAGTGCTGTCCTGAGCCTGCTTAGGTCTCACCTGACCAAACAGTCTTTGATTCACTCATTTGGAACTATTTATTTAAGACTGACTTTGTTCTGACTCCAGAGATAACAACAATGTGCAAGAGAGACAGCACTTACCTTGGGACAGTTTTGATCTTTTCTTCTGGAAAAACTTGCTAGATTGGAAAGTTGGAAAACTATATGATAAATCACTGGCTGCTGTAGTATTAATAACTGATAAGATTTAATTAATGTATTACTTTTAGAAGGATATTTTCTCTTTTAAAAGGATTTCTGGCGTTAACTCTTCTTAACCACAGAACAGACCTTACCAGTTTGCACAGTTCAGTGTTGGTTAAATTGGCAAGTTGGTGCAAGAGATTTTGGAGCAGGCCAACCATTTCATACTCTTTAGTTTAAAATGAGGCCGTCTGTACCTGAGACCAGTCTTCCCTGTGGATAGAATAGAATAATTCTAGTCTGATTCTTAGGCTCAGGAGGGATCCACTGTATCTCCTAAGAATCAAAAGCACTGTGGTCACTTTTTTTTTCCTTCTCAAACTGTCAGACTATAACAGTGGATTTGTAGAAACTCTGTGTACTGAATCATGCAGCTTACAGATGAGAACATATCAGTACTTCATAATATTGAGTTGTTATATATGGATTACATTGAATAGCTCTACTGGGGGGGGGGGAGAAAAAAAATTTCCCCAGTTTTCCCAATCTCATTATACTTCTTTATGCTCTACTTTTACAATGGAAAAAGTAGACTGAAAACTATTTGTCATGAAAATTTTTTGTCATCTGCAATTTGTGGCATGATACAGCTTTTCTGTTTCACTCTTGGCACTTTTATGCATGTTTTATAGGTTAATTGTTGATCATTGTTTTGTTACATATTTACGTGTGTGTATGTATATATACATCGTGTGTGTGTGTGTCTATATATATATATGTAACTTGAAAAATGAAAAGCATGCTGCTTGGCCTGACTAGCTAATGTGTGATTGTACCTGGTAAACAAACTTTTTTCTTTCAAATTCTGACCATAGAGGGATTGAGGTCTCTTTGCTCTGATGAGCCACCTTCAGAAATTATGACTTCCTCCCTTTTTTCGTCTTCTGAAATGCATAACACTGACCTTACAGTACTACCTGGAGAAAAAAGCAAAGTGTTAGGCAGCCAGCCTATTTTAGCCAAAGAAGGAAAAGACTATTTGGATCTCCTAGATGTGAAAAAGATGGAAAAGCCTCAAGGGACTAGTAAAGACATAGCATACTCCCCAGTTTCTGTTGGAGAAGGAGTTCAGTGTAACCGTCCTTCCATTCCGGTCAGTTTCCCTGATCGTCCTGCTTTTCTCTCAAAGGAAGTTGGTCTAATGGAACAGCAAATAAATAAAAATCAGGAGTCCAAGAGCCCAAATGAGGTACCAGGTACGGATGATAAAACTGGCTTGGATGTTGATGACAAGTTCACTTTGCTAACAGCCCAGAAACCACTCACCCAGCAGCCTAAGGCAGAAGGCATTTGTACATATTCCTTATCCCCATTTGAAGTTTCAGGAGGTGGTATTATTGAAAAGGATTCCCCTGAGTCACCATTTGAAGTAATTATTGACAAAGAAGCATTTGACAAAGAATTTAAAGATGCGTGTAAGGAGAGCACAAATGATTTTGGTAGCTGGGCAGTGCACATTGATAGAGAATCATCTGCAGACATTTTGGAGTCTAATGACAAATTATTTCCACTGAGAAGTAAAGAGGCAGGGCGTTACCCAACCTCTGCGTTGCTCACTAGACAGTTTTCGCACACAACTGCAGCATTGGAAGAAGTGTCTAGATGTGTGAATGATATGCATAACTTTACTAATGAAATATTGACTTGGGATTTGGTTCCCCAAGTGAAAGAAGAGAGCAATAAATCTGACTACACAAAAACTACAGGACTTGATATGAGTGAATATAATTCAGAAATCCCAATTGTAAATCTTAAAACTAATGCTCACCAGAAATTTTCTGTATGTTCTATTAATGGGAGCACTCCCATCATTAAATCAGCAGTTGATTGGGCACAGGCATCTCTCCCACAAGAAAATGCCGTCACTGAAAAACCTATGCCAGACTGTCTCCATTCCACAAAGGAAATCAATATCAAAGGTGTGGGAGGCAGTGTGCAGAAACAAGATAACACACTTTCAGAGTTACCTGGATCTCCTTTTGAGAAAAGTGTCTCTTTAGGTTCTGAAGTGGCCACTGGGAAAGTGGTCTTACCTGATGGCCACGTGAAAGGTGAAATGAATTGGCAGAGCTCTGTGTTAGGAGAAGCCACAGAGGCTGATAGTTCTGGTGAGTCTGATGACACAGTAATAGAGGACATTACAACCAGTATTTCATTTGAAAGTAACAAAATTCAGGCTGAAAAACCTGTTTCCATTCCAAGTGCTATTGTAAAAAGAGATGAAAGAGAAATCAAAGAGATTTTCAATTGCGATAGGGAAAATAAAACATCTGAAAACTTTGAAGGGCCAGTCAGTGGCTCTGAGGCAGCGCAAGTTCAGCCTGATATTCTTGAAAGGAGTCCAGCTGGTGAGGCAGCATGTTCACAAGTACCTGATCTGAATGGCATGTCAGAAGAGGTGGAGCAGTCGGGTAGAATGAGTGAAGTTGATTCTGAAAAGCCTGTTGCAACCGAGAATCGCAAACTTTCTTCAGCTTTGTCTCCAAGTGTTCTTATGGAGACAGAATTCTCACTAAATGTGACAGCCTCTGCCTATTTGGAGTCATTACATGAAAAAAGTGTTAAAGATGCAGATGATTCTTCCCCAGAGAACCTGATAGCAGCCTTTACAGAAACCAGAGTGGAAGGAATTGTAGATAAAGGTGCAGGAAATGCCTTTCAGGCAACATCAGAGAAGACTGCAGACTTTAAAACAACTCTTGCTGTGGAAGTCTTGCATGAAAATGAATCAGGTGGTTCTGAAATTAAAGACAGAAAAAGCAAACACACTGAACAAAGCAAAGAAACTAATGAAAGTATGGTTCTAGATGTTTTCCCTGCCCAAGGTACTCCAGCAGCATCTCTTGACTTAGAACAGGAACAGCTCACAATCAAAGCCCTTAAGGAACTGAGTGAAAGGAAGGTTGAGAAGTCAGCTTCCGTACTGGATAATGTAGAATCTCCTCCTGAAAAAATACTCAAGCAGACTTTCACATGTGATCCAGAATCTTCTTGGCTTCAGAGATCGTATGATGTCCTAGAACACACAGAAGTTAATACTGGATCTGATCTTGGGATTTCCAGGAAGCCCACATTTAGCAAAGAAACTCCTAGGGTAGATACTATTTCGAGCCTTAGTAAGACTGAAGTGGTAAACAAGCAAGTCCTAGCAAGACTTCTCACAAACTTCTCAGGTAATCATTTACATTAGAAATACTACATGTGATTAATTCTGCTGTGATTGATTACTTATCAGAGTGTCATTTTTCTAAGT